AACGGGCTCTGGTTGGACTGATTTACTACTTGCACAGCTTTGTGCAACCAATAAGCTGTTAACTTGGAGTGAGGTAAAAATGCATTGAAAGCTGAAAGCTGCCGCCACACTTTGGAAAATCTTCTCAAAACCTAGTTCGGTAAATTTCTTGAGATTGTATTTGAAAAAAAAAAGAAAAACTTTTTAGACATCCAACCTCTAGGTCAAGGGGCGTTTGGGATCGTGTCTACTTCTGAAGTATAACACTAAAATAGGAAGACCTAATCACATGTTTTACCAAAATCAAACATTTCAAAGTTGATGAAATTGTGTTAATGCCTTCATTATTGTCGTTAGCCATCTATCGAATAATAGATAAGAATACTATATTCAAATAATATTGTTAAATATTATTTAATAATATAAAAAATATTATTATTGAACATTTATTATTAATTAAATAATATATAATAGTATTTTTATTAAAATAAATAATAATATTAATTAAATAGTAAATAATTATTTATTCCAACAAATTATAATATTTGTTTATTAATATAATAATATTTTTATTTAATATTCTTTTTATTACTTATAATATTATCAGACATTCTACTTAAAATAGTAAATTTCATAGTTTTAGGTGGAGAATTGCTACAAATCAAACAATCTAATTTTTCAGATCCTCTAAAAAGCAAAAAAAAAAAAAAAATCATTTCTACTTTTTCTTAGATTTCAAAACCGAACAATAACTTTTTGACTTTTTAGACATCAAACTTCAGATTTATTAAACTGACCACAACAAGAATACATAGTGCAAACTATGTTTGGTGGTGATGCGCAATGCAGAGCTAGCGTAGTATATTTTATTTTATTTTAGTGATAATGCTTTGGTTACAAGAAAGAGACTCAACAAAAAACACTAAACGACTCAAAAGGCACATCACTTAGATACAACTAGTAGACTTAACAACAACAATAAAGTAAAAGGAAAATAGTTAAGAACCCACTCGATGCAACAATTGATACTAAGTAAGCCGAGCACTAGAAGTGTCATCAAGCAAAACCTCTGCAAACCCAAACAACTTGACCAAAATTTTCCAAAAGAGGGTGGAAAGTCATATGCGAAGCGAAAGAAGATAGATAAAAGAGTCACTTCAGCAGTCCATAAAGATTCAACGATATTCGAAAATCTGATTTCGAATTCAAAATTTGACATAATCGAATCGAATTTAGATAATTTGAATATTTAATTGGTCGAATTCATATATGATTTGATTTGATTCGATAAATATCCAAATTCGACCGATTATTTAATTCTTATATATAATATATAAAATATTGAAATGTCTTATATAATTTATATATATATATAATAATTAAATTATATATTTATATACTTTATATAAATAGAATATTTATTAATTATGTAAAATAATTAATTAGTCAAATTTGAATCGAATTGAATATTCGAATATTTAATCGGATTTGAATTTGAATATTAATTTTTAATATCCGTCAAATATCGAATTCGGATATTGAATTTCTCTAATCGGATTTGAATTTGGATATTACTTGATCCTATTCAAATTTGATCCCTTTACACCCCTAATGACAGGATTTGTGATGACTACCATAAATTTGGGCATATTAAATGAAAAGTGTTGGGCTTTGCATCTAGAGAAGGCCAAAGAATTGGAATGGGAAAAAACTACTGTGGTATGGCAGGGACAAGAGGAAATAGTTGAATGTTCCATGGAATCGGATGAGAAACTTGCCTGCATGGTATCTAAAAATTTTGGGATTGGTGATTCGAGTGAGATACCAGTCAGCAAGGATGACGATGTTCCCACAAGTATTAAGGAGGAAATATGTTGGGTTTATATTCAAATTCACATGACTAAAGCTATTGCTTTGTATGACTCTGCATCACAAAAGGAACTTTATTTCTAACAAGCTAGTGAAGCAACTTAGGTTAAAGCCAAAGCCTCATCCTTAGCCATATACACTTGGGTGGTTAAACAAGAAAGCAGAATTACAGGTACAAAAACAAGGTACATTTAAATTTTCTATTAATGAATAATTTAAGGATGAGGTTACTTGCAGTGTTGTGTCATTAGATATTTGCCCGGTGGTTTTTGAAAGCCATTATTTGTGGGCTAGAGATGTTACTTTTCACAGAAGGGAGAATGTTTGGAGATTGGTTAAAGATGGAGTAGGTTTTCGTATTCATGTCTTGCAAATGACTTGAGAAATTTTCATTTGTGACTATTAGACCTGTTCATGGACCGGGTAGCCCGATGGGCTGGCCCGGCCTGACCTGTTATTAAGTCGGGTTTGGTCATAATTTTAGGCTCGCAGGTTCAGGCTCGGGCCTGGGCTTTTTCAAAAAAGCTTGAGCCCGATTTGATACTATATATTAAATAATAAAAATATATTTTATTTAATAATATATATATATATACAATATTTTTTCTTTGTTCTTTTTCTCTTTTTTCCAAGTAATAGTGAAATGTTTATTATTTTTGAGTTTTAAAGGTTTTTAATATAAATAAAACACTTTTTTATTGAATAGAAAAGAAAAAAAAATCTGTTTTAAAACTTCTGGCTGAGTTTGGGCTCGAGCCCCAGCTTCGAGCTTTATATGAGGGCCAAGCTCGGGCTCAAGACTTAGGCCTGATGGTCGGGTCTGAATGTATTATGTTGATACATATACAAAGCCCAGCCCAAACCCGGCCCAACCCGGCCCATGAACATGCCTAGTAACTGCACAAAAAGTGAAGCACATGGTTAACGTTGGAAAGTGTTTCTGTTTACTCATTGTGAGAGGGGTTGATGAAAAATTGCAAGGGATTGAAGTTGGTATTAATGCTTGTGATTGTACCATAACTCAGAAACAGGAGCTGAGAAAACTATTAGTTAATTTGTATGATGTGTTGGAAGAATCGAAAGCATTGCCGCCTAATAGAGATATGCAACATGAAATAGTTTTCTTGCCTGATGCTTCTATTCCAAATATTGGGATGTACCGGCAATTAGTTTTTGAGTCAGATGAGATTAAACACAAGTTCAAGACTTGTTCGATAGAGGCTTGGTATGTCCAAGTACATCATCCACTGCTTGGGAGATGGAACATGGTGTATGTGCATCAATTATCATTCCTTGAACAAGATTACTATAAAGAACAAGTATCCTCTTCCTCCAATTGATGACCTACTCCATCAATTAAAATATGCAATTTATTTAGTAAATTGAATTTAAAGTCAGGCTATCACCAAGTTCGAATGAAAGATGAAGACACTTGGAACCCGTTTGGCACATCTTTTCACACAGTTTTTTGGCTGTTTACAAGTTAGGTAGACCAATTTTGGGCTGGAGCGCTGAAAAGACGCGAGAAACCTATTTTGGGCTGATTTTGGGAAGCTTTAAATGAAACTTTTCGTATGAAAGCATTTTATTCTTGCCCGGAAAGACATGGAAAGACACATGGAAAGATGTGTATCTGCCAAACTAGCTTTGGGCTGCTCAGATCTTCATGCAAAAGTTCAATGTGTCTTTTGACTGTTAGAACTGGCAGAAGATCTTCCCAAAAAGACTTGTCAAACGGGCCTTTGAAAATTTTCTTTCAAGACAAAACATGGGTTGTACGAATGGTTAATAATGCCTTTTGGCTTAACTAATGCCCCCGCCACTTTTATAAGATTAATGAATGATATTTTGAGGCTTGTTTTGGATAAATTTGTGTTAGTTTTCTTGGATGACATTTTAGTTTACAATGCCACCTCGAGAAACATCTTGATCATTTGAAGGTTGTGTTAGAAATTTTGTAATATGCAAAACTAAAACTAAATGGAAAGAAATGTGAATTTGCAATAGTAAAAAAAAATATTGGTGTATTTAGGACATGTGATTAGTGGTGGAATCGTTCGGATTGCTATGCAGTTTCATTTGTGCTACACAATATCTTCGAAAATTTATCTAGGATTACTCTCAGATTGCTATGTAGCTACTGAGACAACTACAAAAAGGATAAAAACATCATTTGGGGGTGTTATTAGAAAATGAAGGCTTTGAATTATTGAAGCATATACATCTTTAGTGGCAGGGCACTTTGGTGTACATAAGACACTGGCAAATTTGCAAAGGTATGTCTACTAGCCAAATATGTTAAATGATATAAATCATTATATTCATGGGTGTATCATTTGCAGAATTAGTAAATCAAGTAATTGGAAATTTGGGATTTTTTTAGTTATATTCATGGGCGTATCACCCTGTGTCAGTGATTTTTTTATATAAGGCCCGATTATCCTCTGAACCAGTAGCTGACCTGATACAACTCCTGTAGGGGTGTATCGGGAAGTCAATGGCACGATACGTATCGACCAATACATGGTAATGATTACATTTTTGTGGTGGTGAATAGGTTTAGCAAGATGCCAATTATGATTTATTGTAGGAAGACTTTAGATGCCACTAGAACTGCTCATTTGTTCTTCTTGTATGTTTTTGTGCATTTTGGATTGCCTAGAAGTATTATTAGTGACTGGGATAAAAGGTTTTTGTAGAATTTGGAATGCTTGGTGGGGTAGCCTAACCCAAAAGGGGGTGAACAAGCTACAATTGATCTCATTCTAGATAGGAAGATAAGAATAACTAGAAATGGGGAGTAGAAATTTTTGTAGATATGTCCTAAGGGGCAATTTCCCAATTGAGAAAAGTGGTATTCTATTGAATTTCCTCATTTAACGGAGGGACCAAAAGCCTTGAATAGAGGGAAAATCTATAATGTGGAAAAGATATGGTATGGTAAGAGTTTTGACCTATCAAAATTCACCCATGTTTCAAATTTTTAAAGGAAAAACTAAAAAATCGTGGAGGAAGACACCTGTCTGAAGGAGAAATGCATTGCCACGTGTCAAATGGATATAGAGAAGAAAATTCACCTTGAAACCCGGTCGTACAACTATTCCTTTCGGTGGTTCATTGCTGAGAACCACCGGCACACTGTCCTACTATTCATATACGCGCAAACGCATGCACATGTTCCTTTTCCCTTCCATTCTGGGGAAAACCAAACAGAGCAAAGCGAGAGAAAGCCGGAGTAGCAGCAGCAGCAACGATCTCGGCTTTTGTCCAAGTTTCTTCTGTAACCAACCCACCTGCCCCAGTTGAAGGAAAAGCCTCATTCAGAAAGAAACTAAAAAAAGTTCTAAATACAATGCATACAGAGATGAAGTTCAGTTGAACTTGAATCCAGAAGTTACAGAAAGAGAAGAAGAAACAAAAATGACGAAGGTGAAATCAAGAACATCGTTGGGTCTCTTGACCACATTAATGTTTGTAGTCATCTTCGTCACGACAAAGCTCCAATACGAGCACGTGAAGGTAAACCCTCTCTCTCTCTCTCTCTCTCTCTCTGACTCTCTCCTCACATCTGCACAGTATTCTCCAATTCCAGGTATTCCTCCTGCCTGCATTGTTAATTTACCTATTTTCTTCTTTTTGAATTTTAGGTGGAGAATCGGTGGCACCCTTTTGTCTCAACCAGGGGGAGCTCAGGACTAGCAGTAATGATTAATTGATATTTGTGATTCTTTTGACGTCTCTATAAATTTGTTCTACTCGATTCTTTCATCTGTTAACTGCGCTTTGGATCTTCATCGAGGCATTGCATTTATTGGGCTGTTACTAATTTTTTATTTTAAGCAGTCAGGGGAGGATCGGTTCGAGTCATTAGACTCTCTACGTCAGGGCGTAGTTGAATGGGCATCGAACTTGGAACTGAAGCCTCTCTGGCAAAGCTCAAGGTTAAAAGTAACTGTTCCAGTTCCTTTCACCACATTGCCCCTTTCATTTTATTGTTCTTTTATTTATTTATCTATTATCTACTTTTCGGTGGTTGTCTTACAATTTGTGTTGCAAAGAGATGTTTCTACTCAAATGCTTATATGTTTAATTTTGTTCTTTCATTCCTTTCGCTTGCCATTGTTTCAGCTGCTCTTCTCAACTACTAGTACATGGGCAGCTCTGTGAACTTTTCGATTCAATTAGAAACTTATTTCATGAAAAGTAAACAACTTGCAGCTCCACATTTCTAAGCTTGTGCCATCAAAAGAAAAAAAAAAGCAATTTCACATTTTGGCTGCGTTTGGTGGATGTAAACTGAAGGAATATTGAATTGGCTTCCTTAGAAAATGATATTCAATAGGAAAATAAATGACATTCCTAATTTTCATGTGTCTTTCTTTACTTATTCCATGCATAAGTTTCTTCCCAGTGCATGCAAGTTATTTCATTCTGAGTCATTTTGGTTGTTATTGGCAATGCGACCACTGAATTAGGAATTAGTTTGCGGTGAGAGAATTTTCAGTATGATTTGTTCAAATGGTTGTTATGTATGTTTTGTGCAAACTGCCACTTTTGCATGGTTGTAAAAATTGTCATGTTGTACAATCTTTCTTGTCGGGCAGCAGTTTGAACTGCAATGCTCTCTTGGCAATTCCCGTTGGAATCAAGCAGAAGCAAAATGTTGACATTATGGTTCAGAAGGTACTTTCGTAATATTGCATTCCCAGTTCTTGTTTCCTTGAAATTAAGGGTTGATAAGTATTTAACCATTCCTTTTCTATTTCAGTTTCTCTCAGAGAATTGCTCCATATTACTGTTTCATTATGATGGGAGTGTTGATGGATGGAACGATCTTGAGTGGAGTAACAAGGCAGTTCACATACTTGCTCATAACCAAACAAAATGGTAATATTGAATTGATTGTAAATTTTGTTTCTGTATTATTTAGTTGCAAACTTACTTATTAGTACCATGAAATAATTCAAAATCTTTCTTAAGATTGTAATACAACATGGCTGAAATCATTATTAACATCAGTTTATGCAAAACATATTTGACATAGCTTGCTCCTTTATAACTAATGGATCTTGACATGGCTTTTGCACCCTAACATGTCCACCTAATCAAGGTTCAAAGTATCAATACACCCCGATATGATGGAAGGGGTAAAAAGGCAAAGGAAATAGTAGAGGATATCAGTTGTCAAATTTTCTGTTCATCCATAGATGTAGAAGGTTCACCCTTAGCAGAGGAATCACCCTTGGTAGAAGAGATTTCAGTGGTTTGTCCCTCAGCCACTTGATATGCACGTGGCTGGGTCTTTTTCTAAATACCCTTAGATGATAACCATGCATTCTAGAATGATGTGACTATGTTGTTTACAATAAGTGCAAATATTCCTCTTCTTGTAGTGAGAAGCAATGTGTCCAAATCCTTGCACTCGTAACACTGTGTTTTGGAGAAGTCCTTAGAACCAGATTTCTTACTTCCTTGAACAATAAAAGCAGTGTCAGCCCCTGAATCAATTGATTTCCCATTAATACTTGCAGTATCAGGAGTCTAGTCTCCTCCCTCAGAAGTTCACTCATCACTGAATCCAAAACCGGAAGATTTCCTCTACTCAGAATTTAGACTTGATTATCTCATATTGGGGTCTAAGTTTCATAAGAAATTGATTCACCTTCCTCTTCTCAAAGTGCTGCTGGAGATATTTGACACATTTTGCAGTGTCCAAAGGGTCTATATGAACAAGCTCATATTCTGCCCACACGTCAAGGAAGCGAACATAATATTCCTGAATCTTCCTATCTCCCTGGCAATAAGCAAAAATCTTAGACTCAATCTGATAATGTCTTGACATGTTGGATTGGTGGAATACTTTCTTCAAGTATGCATACATCTCATAGGCAGTATGCATTCTTCTCATAGGTACTGCAATATGAGATACCATCGAACCGAGTATCCAGGAAACTATTTTCTCATTATCCAGCTTCCGTTGTGAATAAGCCTTGGTATTAATTTAATCTGGTTTAGTAACCTTTCCATTCAAATATCCTTCCAGACCTTTTCCTTCGACAAAGAAGTCAAGGTGGAACTTCCTTCTCAGCCATTCTGGATAATAACCACAGTTCAAAACAGGTTAACAATGCTGAAATCGATGCTAAAAGGAAGAAGAACCAGTGATTCACCACCCAACTTAAATAAAAAACAGTTCAATTACAATGCTGAAGTAATACTTCACTAAGTAGAATGAGATTACACTGCATAAATCTCACTACAGTAGATTTAGATCGATGACAGTCCAAAAAAGGAATGTTCCAGGACTGTTGATCACAAGGTGGGATCAAAACCCTACCAAAATCGAACCAATCTTCAAATCAGATAAAACAAACAGTGAAAAGAGGCCAGGAAGAGACCAACTCTAGAGTCATAAGATGATTGGATCACCTGATTTGGAGAAATCAGGAAAATACTAACCTGCTGGGTGTCATTTTCAGAAAAAAAATCTATCACCTTCGGCTGATCAAAACAGGCCTCAAACAGCCTTCAAACAGAGCTCGATGGTAGTCAAAAAACTTCTTAAACAATCCTCTAACATCCAAGAAATAAACTGAATCAACAGCTGGTAGACATGACCTGCTCTGATACCATGTCAATCTACCAGTTTGAAAGAGAGAATACCAAAGTATTAGGGTGTCAAATGTAATAATCCCCACCCCTTGTATGTATATGTGTATATATACATATACATATGTATATGTGTATATCTATATATATATATATATTAATATGTATAATTACAAAGGCACCCTTAAAGGGCTGAAAGAGAAAAATAAAGAAATAGAAAGAATAAGACTATAGTACAACAGGGAATAGTACTACAGTACATCAAGTGTCTCCACACTAGCAACTCAGCTCTTAGGGAATCTCCAAGCCTGCTCTCCCTTGTCCTTATGATGGTCTTTTTGAGCTTGCTTTCTCTCCTATACCAACTATCATGTCCTTTCATATTTATTTCCCCTTCTTTTGACCCAAATTTTGCATTTTGTTGAGCTTTCCTTGCTTCAAAGTTTTGCAAATGTAGACTTCCAACAACTACTCTTGATGAAGATCAAAAGTGCTTGCGGGAGCTCAGAGGCAGCTTGGAGGTTGGCAGGATACCTGGAAGAAGGATGAGGTCAGAGGGGATGGATTGAGATCCCGGGCTAAGAGCTTCGACAAGCAAGTTAGTATTGGCCAAGCTGTCCAAGGTGCTAAAGCCAACAATTAATGAAGCCAAAAGTATGCAATGAATGCTAGTAGTGTAGGACACCTGGATCTTTGGGCAGGACACGTGCAGCTCGGGGCAGGACATGTGCAGTCTCTTTGGTGCCACATTACTCTCACATGGAGGAGGCTTGGGGCCTACTGATTGACAGGATGGGCATGCGCGATGATGACACTGCCAAATGTGACGGACAGTGATGATGGTCCTACCAGGTGGGGCTGCTAGATGGCCATCCGGTATACACGTGGTGGAGCTTGGGTGTGCTTTTCCTGGTGTAGTTTGTTCTGGCGGAGTGTGTTTCCTTATGCACACAGCTCGGCTTGCCTGCCGAGTTGCCCCTTATACTTCTGTAGTGACTCGTAGTGACCTGTCTGCCTGAGACGAGGGCAGGTCGCCCGAGGTGAGATCTCCCAAAGCCGAGGTTGGCCCGGGTATCCGAGGAGGATCTGTTGGTCCAAGGTGATATATTCATCCAAGGTGCAGCTCGTAAGTAGAGCTGTGGACATTCTTGAAGCTGCCATGTGGCTGCCCCTAATTGGAGGTCACTTCCACCCTCATCAACTCTCAATTTGAACTGCTCATACCCTACTTTGGGTCTCCATTTCTGATGGTATTAATCTGGCAAATGACTCGTGTCTAGTATCCAGATGAAATCGATTTTATTTCAGATCAAGTTTCTTTCATTTGTCCTTATGTGCTTTGCATATGAACTACTGATGCTTTTGACGACATCCACACCAAAATGAAGACTTACATAAAGCCACCTCTGTGATGTACCACCAGATATTCTTTCATCTCCATGTGGAAGTCATCAATCTAGATATTGTTCTGGACCCTTACACAATTGAAACCTACTTAAGGAGTCTCCCCAGCTACTGGATTTTGCTTCTGTTTGAACAGCCAGCGGCCACCATTCATGGGTCAAATACTAGCCAGTCTCCCCCATGCAGCATTTAATGTGCATACCTGACAACTTTTCTTAGAACTTCGTCAAAAACATTGCTCTGACTGACTTGTAACTTGCCTTTTATCTTGAGTTGCAAGACTTTCCTTGATCATTACTAGCTTACCACCAACCATCTTCCAAAAATGAAAAGAAACTTAAGTTCTTCTATCTCTTGGAATTTGCCTCCTTCACCAACATGGTTTTTTCATAGAATCAGAGCCTGATTCTCTGGACTGCACTTTGCATATTGCCAGATTCTAATATTTCTTGCATCCTTTGCTCAAAGGTGTGTCTGGTTGGCAGCCGACACTAAAACTTTTGCCAAACTCTCATGATATGAATCTTTTGCTTAGAGGTAAATGAGATAGTGGCATGTGGATACAACATCATGAAGGGATGGGAGATCCACCAGATGGATGGCCGAACCCTGTAGGAAGGTTGGGTGAAATTTCAAAAAATTTCTTTACTCCCATCCGGGAATCCTATTCCCAATTTAGAAAACTGCATTTTCAAGGTTCGTTCTTGTAACCAAACCGGACCAAATCTAAAACCAAATCAAGGGAGGGATATACTTGATATGAAATCCACGCAAGAATGCTCCTCCCAACATAGGTGTTCACGCCCAAATAGTGTACCAAATCCTCCCTCCACTGAAGATGACACAACTTAGGATGAGGTAGGATCAGTGGGTAGCTCTTCACCAAGAACTAGTGATTCTTCAGCAAGAATCGAATGGGACAGTGAGCACAACTTCTAAATTGTTTCTTCTGGCAAGAAACAATATCAAGATCGAATCTTGATCCAATCCAAGAACTGGAGATCGAACTGAGTGGGGCGGCAAGAGCAGGAAGAAAAAGAGCAGAGGGCAAGAGCAGTCTAACTGTGTTGTCTTCTCTCTGTATTTGGCGAATGTGTCTTTGGAAGTTCGCCCTGCTCTCTAATTTATAGCCTTAAAGAGACAATTTCCTAATCTCATTAGGAGTTTCCTGATCCAAATCTTTTATTTGGATCTGGACTCTTTAAGTGATAAGGATAATCCCTTATCTTATCTGCAGATAAAGATCAGCCTTCCTAATCAAATTAGGAGTTCCTTTGATC